ATTCAGTTATCAACTCTGTGCTGATGATTTTCAAATCTCTCTGTCCTGCCCCAGCTGCTCTGTTGACCTCTAGTCTCACATCTCAAACTGCCTATTAGACATCTCAAATTGGATGTCTTATAGACATCTTTAGCTCAACATGTCCAACTAACTCATCTTTCCCCCTAAACTCTGCCTGCTTCAATCTTCCCTATCACTGTCAAAGGCACCACCACCATCTTCTCATTCTCTCAGGCCCGCAACCTAAATGTCATCCTCAACTCTTCATTTTCTCTCACGCCCTATATCCAGTCTGTTACCAAAGCCTGTTGATTTCACCTCTGCACCATCTCTTATATAGGCCCCCTTCTCTGATCGTGTCACTCCCCTGATGCAGGCCCTTATCACCTCATGCCTGGATCATTGCAATAGCCTGCTGATGTCCCCTGCCTAAAGTCTCTTCCCTCTCCAATCCATACTCCATTTAGCTGCCAAAGAGATTTTTTGGGGATTTTTTTTGTTTGGTTTTTTTTGTTTTGGTGAGGCAATTGGGGTTAAGTGACTTGCCCAGGGTCACACATCTAGTAAGTGTTATGTGTCTGAGACTGGATTTGAACTCATCTCTAGCCACTGTGCCACCTAGCTGCCCCGGCCAAAGTGATTTTCTTAAAGAGTGGTGCAACCATGTCACTTCTCTACTCAATAAATTCCAGTGGTTCCCTATTGTCTCTAGGATCAAATAAATAATTTTCTGTTGGCATTCAAAACCTTTTATAATCTATGTTCCCCTCCCCTACTTTTCCAGTCTTCTTCCACCTTACTCCTCACCCTTTAATCAAATAACGCTGGCCTCCTTGCTGTTCCACAAACAAGAAGTTCTGTCTCTTTGCTCTGGGAATTTTCTCTGATTGTCCCTCATGCCTAGAATTCTCTCCTTCCTTAGCCTTCTGGCTTTCCTGGCTTTCTTCAAGTCCCAACTAAAATCCATTTTCCTACAAGAAGCCTTTCCCAACCCTGCTTAATTCTAGAGATTTCCCTCTCAATTATTTCCTACTTATCTTGTTTGTACATATTTGTTTACCTCTCTTTCCCTTTCAATTGTGAGCCCCTGAAGAAAGGGACTGCCTTTTACAAACTCTTTTTGTATCTCCAGCACTTAGCATAATGGCTAGCGCACTTGATAAATGTTTATTGACTAACTGGTTAATAAACTCAGACTCCACAAAGCAGGCTCTGTGGAGCTGCAAATGACTAGAAAGTGTGCCTTACTGGACTGAGATGAAAAGGATAGAGGAAGTAACTCTTATAACTCAAGAAATAACCGTTTTTGAGAGGAAATAACTATTTATTCTCTTATGCCTCTTCTAGAGTGTGTTGGGGGATGGGGGGATTTTTCTTTCCTCTCCCCTCCCCCATCATCAGTTGTTTTTCCTTCCTTTTCAAAGAGGACCAATGACATTACAGGGGATGTCTTGACTTGCTTGTGAACTAGATTTAAGTGAGGCAGAGTGGCATAAAGTAATCAGCTTCATTCTCTCTTCCCAAGTCATCAAAGTCCCATGGCAGGACAAAAGGCAAGATGACTGGCGATGGCCCCACGTGCTGTGAATGACCTTGGCATCTTTGATGCATTGATCTCTAGGCGCTCCACAACACCTGTTTCAGCCACCTTCGTGACCATTGGAACAAATTGTTCTATTGTGCCAGGGAAAATCTTTACATGGTTGGAGTAGACATCCCCCTAAGTCACCAACAAGTTTGAGACCTGTCAGTTACCCTCAACCTGGTTTAGCCCATCTGCTGAGACAGTTCTCCAGGGTGTGGCCACTGTGCATGCTGCAGCTTCTTGGGGCCACAGGTGACAGTTGGGTGAAGGTGGACACCAAAGGTGGGGCTTAGCAAGCCCTCACACCGGAGGTACATCTTGCTAAAAAGTGACTCACCCAGTAGGAGACAACATACTCTGGAGAGAGCAGGCCTAGAGAGTCCAACAGGGTAACCTGCTTGAAAGATATTCTGCTACCTAGATTCACTGAAAGAAAGGCAAAGACTTTAGAATACTGCAGTGCCATAGGTGTGAACTGGCTTGGTCATATACACCCCCTCAGTATGTGCTTTTCTGCTAGTGTAATTAATCTGTGAGTGTGCCTGCTCTTCCCACTGACACTGTTTTTATTTGTGGAACAGCATACCCCAGAAGTCTACAGGGGCAGTGCTCATAACTTCTATTCTTACAATGCTATTTCAATAAATGCCTTTGCTTTAAGCTGATTGAGTCGTCTGGCTGAATAGTGAAGATAAGTGCATCAGTGGGGGCTCATGTGCTATAGTTTTAGGAGTGAAAACTTATGAAGAACTTTGAACCTGGGGAAGTTGTCCCCTAGGGGATCCAACCTACAAGCATGAATCAAGAAGGTGGTTAGATAAAAGGGGGCACTTTAATTAATCTCTTTTCAACTTTCCCATCAGGACAGACTCTATCAAATGCAATTTCCCCACATCAATGAGTCAAGTAATGCAATTATTTAAGAAGAGAGGAATGACATTAGTCTGCATGGCTAATCTTGATAAATCCAGGCTGACTCTTTCTGTTCCCTGCTTCCTCTTCTAAATATTCATTAACTCTTCCTTTAATAATACATTTATGTACCACTTGAGTTAGGCTCTAAGCCAAGGAAAGAAATGACCAGAGGGATATTTCTGGGTGTGAGAGCAACCAGTTCAAGCTATTGAAAGGTTGCCCGGGAGAGCAGGAACCTAGGAGTTGTGCCTAGAGCAAAGACAGTGTGACACCATTTTTCTTCTCCTAGGGATATCATACAGCAATTGATTCTCTTTGTAGAGACATGGGACTTCAGGTTAACAAGTCTTTGTGAAGAGGAACAAAGGTTTGGATGACAATGAAAATGAGACCTCTAAACTTAAATATTTATGAAACCTACCCTAATGCCCATAGGTGTAGGTAGCATATTTTATTAAAGAGTGTACCCAGCGAACGTTATTTAACGTAAACATTTATTGAATCTTCAGTAATAAAGGATATTATTTTTCTTGGTCAAATTAAAGAAAGAAAAACAACTAGAATTAATTTTTTAAAGAATTGCTAAATTTTTTTTTAAAAAGCAAATTTTGTAAAGGGCCCTGTTAAATCAAATGTTTCTTAACCTAAAATACAGAAGAGTCTTTTCAACTTTGTCTTCTTGGTTAAAAAAGTCCCTTTTCTAATACCAGACCTTGCTGCCCTGTCCCCACACTGCCAGCTGTGGAATTTAAGGACTAATACCAGAAGAGCTACCTTTTTAAACCTTAAAATTTTGACTTGCCTTCTGTGTTTGAAGCAAATGGAGTCCTGGAGTTATTGGAGTTACCAACTACAGCCTGAGCCACATTAAAAAAGTGGCCTAAGCATTAGAGAAGGGGGAAAATTGTTGAGATAATTTTGGCCTGACTACAATAGGCTAGAGTCCTGGATACTTGCTGGACAGGAACTGGGCTCTACCTGCAGAAGTGCCATTTGAGCAGGTGAGGCAGCCCTGCCGAGAGTCTGAAAGGTCCTATGGGGATCTCCCAAATGCATATTATCAATTGAGTCACTAACCAAGTCTTCTTCCTGCTCCAGAGCCTTCCAGAAACAATGAAGGGCAAGTGAGTGGGCCCCAAAGGAAGGAAGCAGCAGTAGTAGTGGTAGCTACAGCACCCAGGGGTTCCCAGAGAGCCCCTCCCAATAGCAGACCCTTGGACAGCCCCACTGCCATGAGAGTGCTGCTGGCACATTGAATTGGGCATTCAGGCACACGCCTTATCCATGCCTGTGCTAATGTCCCAGGCTAAATGTGCTGTCTTCCTCAAATTTCCTTGAAACACTTTGGCTCTCTCATTTGCCCCCATTATTTACCAGCTTTGTATTAGATGTATTTGTGTACATCAAAGTGCCTAGTACGTAATTGCATTTAATAAATATTTGTTGATTGACTAGAACTTCCTTTTCTATGTCAAGCTCCTCAGTGCCTTTCAGATACAGAGGGTACTTATATATTGAATTGAATTGAATTGTTTTCTCTAGGTCCAGGGAGCTCAGAGAGACCTTTGCTAGTCTAGAGATAGAATCAAAGTGGAACTGGAAAGAACAAGTTGACTTTAGAATTTAGCACAGCAGAGCTCTTAAGCTGAAAATGACTTGGTTCATAATTGTGTTGTATGACATATATATGCTGTCAAGTCAATAAATATTTATTAAGTGCTTGCTATGTGCCAGACACTGTGCTAAGTGCTGGGCATACAAATACAAACAGAAAGACAGTGGCTGCCCTTAAGAAACGTGCATTCTAATGGGGAAGGGGACACCTAAAAGGAAGCTGAAAGGGGATGGGGGGAGTGGGGTACCCATCTGGGGGCAGAGTAGGGAAAGTTCAGAGAGTCCAGAATGCAGCCTGTACATGTGGTTGACAAAGCTTCCTTTCCAGGCTTTGATTCTTCCCTCCATCTACGAATGTTCCAACATGAAAAGTATCTTAAGCACTGTATTTATCTATAGGATATTTTAAAAGTTATAATCTTGGCTCGGAGCTCAGTTACTACTTAGTAGTTAGACATTATAGAATATTAAGGAACTTAATACGTTTTCCCACTCTCATTGTAAGAAAAGAAGGAGGAAAGGGCAGGGGAAGATTTATTACATCCAGTTTGCTTTATTTATTCCTGGTTAGGAGCTAGGCTGTCTGTCAGCTTTCTTTCCATAGCAGTTGGCTGGTAATTGAGTTAATGAGTGAATGACAGGCAGAGCTAAGAGCTGGGGCTAGGTGAAAAGCCAAGACCAACTGGCCACAGTTGTCTTTGTATTGTCTCAGCCCTGCCTTCGTTACATCACAACATTCTGAGCTTTTCAACCAATCATAGAGCTCCCCAAGGGATAATAAAAGCAGTTTGAAAGTCCAGAAGCCTCCATAGCAACACTAAACATCCTTTGACATTGCTGCAACTAGACACTGACCCGAGCACCGTTTTAGGGAGCTAGTGCTCTCATGCCTCAGAAAGTGAAAACTCCCAAAATGAATTCTTCTACCTCATCCTCTAAAGTCACAGGGGTAGAAAATACATTAAAAGAGCCGGATGATGATGATATGGAGTGCAAAGAGCTAGAAGGTTTGAAAGAAGCCTTGGAGAACCTCCGCGGTCTATCTAGTGAGGAAAAAAATGAAAAAGCTCTGTTACGTTCCCGCCTCCAGGAGCAGTCTCAGCTCATCTGCATCCTGAAGCGCAGGGCTGATGAGACGCTAGAGCGCTGTCGAGTCCTGGAGCAGCTCAACACGGAGCTGGAGGAGAAAAGGATGAGGGACGCGGAGAGGCTGGAGGCCCAGACCCAGCGCACGCTGAAGCTGGAGGCCCGCTTCATGGACCTGGCCGCCAACCACGAGGAGATGATCCGCTTCAAGGACGAACACAAGAGGCAGAATGTGAAACTGAGAGAGGAGAACGAAATCCTGAGGAGGGAGAACAGGGAACATTTCAGCCAAGCCCTGAAGGACCAGGAGGCCAAAGTGTGTCAACTCACAGCCCAGGGAGAGAATTTGTCCAGAGAGCTAGAGGCCCTGAAGGGGAAATGTGCTGAAGACACCAGCCGCGCCAAAGCCCGAGAGAAGGAGCTGATGGACCTGCAGCACCAGCAGGCCAACTCCCACGCGAAGGAAACCAGCTCCCTCCAAAGCCAGCTCCAGACCCTGGAGGAGCTGCACCGGAAAGCCCTGGCGAAGATGGCCAAGGCCGAGGAGAAGCAGAAGGGCTTGAACTCCGAGCTGAGCAGCCGGCTGGAAAAAGTGACCAAGGAGAAGGAGGAGCTGCTGCAGCTCTCCATGGAGAGGGGCAAAGAGCTTCAGAACAAACAGCTGGAGATCCAGCAGCTGGAGGAGAAGCTGGAGATGGCGGAGACAGCCCGAAAGAACGCGCTGGATCGTTTTGAGCAGGAAGCCGCCACCGTGAATAGCAGCCTGAGAGTTCAAGAGCTGGGCCGAAAGGTGGAGGGAATCCAGAAGGCCTATGATGAGCTCTGGTTGCAGTCTGAAGCCTTCAAAAAGCACAGTCTGGATCTTTTAACCAAGGAGAGGGAACTCAACGCCAAACTCCGACACCTTTTTCCATAAGGCGAGCCGTGTTGGTTCTGCTGGCCTCAACCAAACTATGTGTTTTCTTCTTTACTGGAACAGTAACCAGCCTTTCATTTATTATATTTCTATTACATAAAAAATAATCTTGAGACCCACTTTATTGTCACAATTCTTGTTGTTCCATCATAATGCCTGTGGGAGAGAGCAAATACTGTTAAGTCCCCTTCCCCCGCCCCAGACCTCACCGCAGTCAATCCGTACAAGAAGTGTAGGTCACATTAGTAAAATGGGTTTATTTCTCAGTTAGCTTATAACTTCGTTCTTAATTATTTTTTCTTTAATAGAGTATTCAAATGGGACATAGTGCAAAAAGCTGCAAATTGGTTTAATATTGCCAACACAATATGCTAATAGGAGAAGAGAAACTTCATAATTGAAGTACCAGGGAATACAGATTTCTGTATTTTGGTTGTCATAGCAGACTTCTTTTGTGAGATTCTAAGTTTTGTTACTGTTGCCTATACTATGCTTATCATACATTAGGCTTAGGCTTTTTCTTTTCTATTAGTATACTTTCTTCCATTGAAATGTTTAGTTTTTTAAAATCAAAACCAAATACATACCTATGTATTTGGAGTACTATGCTTTGGGGATATCTGGACAACCACAGAACTATAAATAAACAGTACTGTTATACACATCTTGGAAATTTCATCAGTGTCTTTAAAGTAGTATTTATTTAAGTGTATATTTCCCTATATCCGTATAATCAGACAAATTAATGTTATTTCTAGGCATTATAATGAATACACCTTAATTTATTTTATAGTATGTTTCTAACTCCCCACCCCCCCACACCTTATAAGGTTGGCTTATCAGTATGAACCATCTAGTCCCACTCCCTATCCAAAATATGTCCTTGAAAACCTCCCTAACAAATGGGTTAGTCTCTAAAAAGATGTGGTTGATGTCAACTCTGCAAATACAGTGTATTATTTATGTGCCTGGTATGAGATAGCAGTATGCATAGAGGCAGTTGTATGTTCATTCAAGAATTATTTATTGAGCACCTACTATGTGTAAGTTATACAATACCTTCCCCTTGTTCATTCTAAGTTCCTTAAGCAGAGTGATTGCTAAAAGGCATAGTAGACAGAGTACTGGACAGGAATTCAGGAAGACCTGAGTTCAAATTCAGCCTTAGACACTTTACTAATTGTGTGAAACTCTTGGCATGTCACTTAAACTTTATCTTCCTCAGTTTCCCCATCTGCAAAAATTGAGATAAGAGCACCTACCTTCTAGGGTTTGTTGCAAGTATAAAATAATGTTTGAAAAACTCTCTGCAAACCTTACTCACTATGTAAATGCTAGCTATTATAATATTATTATCATCTCTCTCCTTAGCTCTTAGTTCAATGACTTGCAACAGAGTATTGCTTCAGGTCTAAAAGGGAAGAAAAGATCTACATAGAAGAAACCAAATCTTTAGTTACAATGCCAGATACAATGTAGAATTGCAACCAAGAGAGGTATGAAGGGATGCAGGTGTTAAGAAGAGTGAAAAGATCTCTAACTTTGACTTCCTTTCTTATTGTTTATCCTTCATTCTCAAAGAGGACCAATGACATCACAGAGGTGAGGTCTTGACTTGTGCGTGAATTAGATTTAAGTGAAGCAGAGTTGTACAAAGTTGTTAGCTTACAGAGTCATCAAAATCCAGTGGCAGGACAAAAGTCAAGATGACTGATATTGGCCCGGGATGCAGTGGATGACCTTGGCCTTTCTAAATTAAAGTCTTTCCTAGACCAGAACCAAATCTCCAGTGTAGCCAACTGGTTATCTTCACCTGGGCATTCTGCAGTCTTAAAATTAAATATGTCCAAATTCCAACTTTCCCTCTCTACCTTAGAACATGATCATTCTTCTGATTTCTCTATTTCTCCTCATTAAATTCTTCATGAATTCTCTTCATCAGTCACGCCCATTCAGGAAATGTTACTCTTTTCTAATGTCTCTTTCTCCCTTATCTCACAAACTTAATCATCAAAGTCCTAGGTTTCTAAGGGCTGTCAGAAGCCTTCTAGTTCAGCCCCTGGCACGTAATTCTACGTCAACAAGCAATCATATTGCCTCTTCTTCAGCTCTGCTAGAGACAGGAAGCTCACTATTTTATGGCAGTCCATCATCTTTGTGGATAGTCTTAATTGTTGCTAATTATAGAATTTAAGAGCTGGAAAAGATCTTACAGATCATATAGGCCAGGGGTTGGCAAACCACTGCCCTGACCCACTGTTTGTTTTTGTTTCTCCAAGAGATAAGAATTTCTTTTTTTTACATTTTAAAGTTTTGTTATATTTTAAAATGTAAAGACCATTCTTAGCTGAGGCAATTAAAAAAAGGCAACATCAGGATTTGGCCATTTGGCTATAATTTGCCAACCCCTGGTCTATTCCATCTACCCCGATTTTATAAGGAAACTGAGGCCCAGAGAAGTTAAATGACTTGCCCAAGATCACATCAAAATCATTATTTTTGTTGTTGTTCTTACCCATTTTCTTTTTTTTCCTTTTAAATGATATTTTCTCCAATTACATGTAAAGACAATTTTTAACATTCATCTAAAAATTGTTTTTGAGTCCCAAATTTCCTCCCTCCCTCCCTTACCTTCCCCCCTCCAAGCAATTTGATACAGGTCATATATGTAAAACATTTTCATATGTTTTATGCCATGTGAAAGAAACAGACCAAAAGAAAAAAAAACATGAAAAAAATAAATTGAAACCAGTATGTTTTGATCTGCATTCAAACTCCATCAGGTCTTTCTCTACATATGAATAGCATTTTCCATTATGAGTCCTTTGGAATTATCTTGGATCATTGTATTGCTGAGAAGAGCTAAGTCTATCATAGCTGATCATTGCACAATGTTGTCCTTACTGTATACAATATTCTCCTGGTTCTGCTGACTTCACTTTGCATCAGTTCAGTTAGTCTTTCCAGGTTTTTCTGAAATCTTCCTGTTCATTTCTTATAGCACAATAGTATTACATTTAGTATAGTATATCACAACTTGTTCAGCCATTCCCCAATTGATGGGCATCCCCTCAATTTCAAATTATTTGCCACCACAAAAAGAGCTGCTATAAATATTTTTGTATATGTAGGTCCTTTTCCATTTTTATGACCCCTTTGGGATATAGACCTAGTAGTGGTATTGTTGGATCAAAGGGTATGCACAGTTTGGTTGCTCTTTGGGTATAGTTCCAAATTGCTCTCCAGAATGGTTGGATCAGTTCACAACTCCAGCAACACATACAGTGCATTAGTGTCTTAATTTTCCCACATCTTCTCCAACATTTGTCATTTTCCTTTTCTGTCACATTAGCCAATACCCAAATCATGTTAAATCCAAATCTGCCTGATGGTAGCTTACTCTCATTTTCTCTTACTTTTTACAGACCACTTTCCCTTCCCATTGTTACCATTCTAGTTTAAATCATTATCTCATTACCTGAACTATTGCAACTAATCTAAAAAACAATTAAGTGCTTAATATGTTCAAAGCACTGGGTTAGATGCCAAGGATATACAAAGAAAATGAAAAATCCAACCACCAAATGATTTATATTCTCCTTAGGACATATCATAGGAAAACATTTAAGTCTATATTTTGGCTACATCAAGCATTTACCAAGTGTCTACTGTATGTCAGGGACTGCATCAGGCACTAGAAATACAAAGACAAAAATGAAACAGTTCTTGCCCTCAGGGAGCTTACATATTGCTGGGAGAAAACAAATATAATGACAAGTCAATACATTTTTTCTTGTTGGGAGGTATGATTTCATTGGTATAGGGAACTTTCAGAGAGGAAACTCGCTGTACCTATAGAGACCAGCAACTCTCCTTCAACTGAACATATTAGAGAGTTGTCTAGGGTACTAAGAAGTTAAGTGACCTGCATAGGGTCACAAAGTCAATAGGTGTCAGAAGCAGGACTTGAACACATCTGTTTGACTCAAGACTACTTCTTATATAAAATATATATGACTAAATACAGAGTAATTTTGATGGAAATAGAGGAAGATTAGCAATAACAAGAGGGCATAGGAAAGGTTTCCCTGGAGGAGATGGCACAAATTAAGTCTTAAAGGAAGCTAGAAGTCCAAGAGGCAGAGAAGGAGAGGAGGCAGAGCATTTGAGGCATGAGGGATAGCTGTGCCAAGATGGGAGACAGAATGACAAATATGAGGAATGGAAAGTAAGCCAGTTTGGCTGAAACTAGAATGTGTGAAGGGGCGTAATGGGAAATCAGTCTGGAAAGCAGGGCTAGAGTCAGATGGGGAAGGACTTTAAAGAAATTAGTAAGGATTTATTAAAGACCTACTATGTGCCAGGTGGTAGCTGCCGGGATACAAAGACAAATGATGACTTGGTCTCTATTCTTAAGGAGCTCACATCGTGAATGCTAAATAAAGGAGTTTATTTCGTCCTAGAAGCAATAATCACTGAAGTTTCTTAAGCAAAGGAATGATGTAATTCACAGAACTCTGTGAATATCAATTTGGTAGATGTGTAGAGAAAGGTAAGATTGGAGGCAGGAAGACCAATTAGGAAGCTGTTGCAATAGTCCAGGTGAGAAGCAATGAGGAGTAGCTAGGTGGCACATTGAATAGAGCAATGGTCCTGGAATCAGGAGGACCTGAGAATCCAGCCTCAGACACTCACTGTGTGACCCTAGGCAAGTCACTTAACTCTTATTGCCTCCAAAAAAAAAAAAAAAAAAAGACAGAGAGAGGTCTGAACTACAGAGATAGACGTGTGAGTGGAAAGAAAGGGACAGATGTGAGAGATGATGTGTCCATGGAGTGATCATTTGAATAAGGAGATAACATTTAACAGCTTGGAGGGAGGGGGGTATCAGGAAAAGCTGCCTATAAAGGGTGGCAAGTAAACTAAATCCTCAAGGATTCTAACAGGCAGAGAAGTGAGGAGGAAGTGTCTATTGTAATTATCTAACCAGTCTACCTCCC